CCACCGCAGCTGTACCCGGTGCCTGCGCTCCCACGCTGCCAGCTTGCCCTCAAGGACTCGGCGGTGCTCATGCCGCATTTGCTCGGAGACCGATTGCTGCCCCTCAGCTGCGAGAGTCACACTGCCACCCAGCGCGTACAACTCCTCCAAGCAGCCTTGGTAGTGGTGCTCCCATGTAAGACGGGCCTGCGAGTAAGAATCCTGACATCAGTGATTCATGCATCTTTATGTATCTTCCAAAGGTGTGCATCCCATTTGCTCTTTACAAAAACTCCACCAGTATGCACATCCTGTCATGTCTTGTCCTGTCATGTCATAAGTCACATGTCAAATGTCCTATCATGTCATATGAACAAGCACCAGTACAGCCAACTGAAGGTGCAGAGTGGAGCAGCACCGGGATGGTGGGCGCGCTTGTTGATGCCCCCTCAGACGATGTCTGCCGCTGCTCCCGGGCAGACCCCTGCGTGCAAAACAAACAATCTGCTTGCATACTTTCTTCTGAGGCAGCTCTTTACTCTGAGTCCTCTGAGCACCTCCTTCTCACTAGCATACCCATTGATACTTATTCCATGCTAGAGAAGAGCCTTCAAAAAGGACCAACACACCTCTGCTTCGTCACTTGCGCCTGCACCAGCGCCGCCTTGGAGAGGATCCTGGCCTGCCGGTGATGGGACGCCTCCTGAGCCACCGCCACCCTGCACCTGATTCATCAGCCAATAAGCGAGCATGCAAAGCATTGCAGACTGCAGGATATATCAAGATGGCATCTCCCCAGAGAATCAGTAGAGACAGGTGCAGCAACTAGGAGGGGTGCATTTTACCTGCAACTCGGGGGCTTTGATTTGGGCAATCTCCTGCTTGAGGGCCCCCGTGGACTGCCGCAGTTGTGCCAGCAGTCGAGCAGCCCTCCTATGCCACTCAAGCAGCTGCTTGGGCAACCTGCGCTCCTTTTTTCGCTGCCAAGCCATCGCCTGCACATGGACCAACATTGTCACTTCTCGCACCTACAGGGTTACAAACTGCAACATCGAGCAAGGCTACAAGAGCTTGCATCATATGAAAGGAGAACTCACCAGGTCCGTCATGTAGTCCTCCCGCGTGGCAGTCGCCATGCGCTTCAAGATGTGTGCAAATTTCCTGTAATGTGCCCAAGCCTGTTCAATGTTGTCACCAAAGGAGTTTCCTGCCGCTAGCATGCGGCGGGCGCCATACTTTTCTTGGCATGCCGGAATGTGAGCCTTCACATGCCACGGCCCCACTGCCAGGCCAGGCATACCCTCCACGTTTCCTTGAACCATCCTGCCAGCACAACACATCACCATTCAAAGGGGACGCTGCTGTGCACTCCGACGAATCCACACACTCATAGCATGACTAGTACTAGACACTAGGAGTGAAATTGTTCCATGCAATAATTGTACAGGGCACATCTTGACGTAAACGCCAGGCATGATGGACGAAAGATTATACCTTCGCCAATATGGGTCAAACTGGCAAGCAATGTCAATGAAGAAGTACTTCAGATCCTTGCCCTCCTCAGGCTTGAACTCCTTCAGCAGACGCTGCAGGAGCAACTCGTAGTAAACAAAGCACTCCGGTGTGAACAGGTTTGCCGCCACGAGAACATACCCGTGGCGGCAAACTGCTGCTGCCACGCCCTACGCACAAGCACATGCGGGAGTGTCAGACCGGCTCCAAAGCACCAGCACATCTTCTTGTTACACGCTTTCCTGCCAAGCAAGGTACATCCTGCAGAGCTGCAATTTAAGGCTGCCATAACCCTACCCCTTGTTGAACTCGCCAGATCCAAGCAAGACCCAATCAACCGTGGGCATGGTATTCAGTATTTTTACCACCTGAAGCAAGGCACGCTAGGGTGCTGCCAAGTATTACCCTTGCCAGCCGGGGCCAGGAAAAAAAGAGAAAAAAATCATGGATATATGAGATGCATGCCAACATCAGTAAGCGCAACAAGATCCCAGAAAAATGCGAGGAGACTCACTTGCACATATAGGCGCAGCTGCGTGTCTGAGGCGGTTGGCGTGGCAGCAACGAACTGAGAGCAGACCGGCCGCTCCAGCGCCGCCGGGTCCAAGGCCTTCCGTTGAGCGAGCAAGGCCTTCACCTCTTCATCAGCAATGAAGGGGCTATAGGGCAGCTTCGGCTGCAGGAAATCAGAGGCTTTGCCCGCCGCCCTGAGCTGCGTGAGTCCCAGGCAGGCGTCAGCAATGGCTGCCACGCAAGTGCGAAAGCAGCAAGGACACTGCACAGTGGGGCCCCCGGAGGCACGACTGTCCAGAGATTCCTGGGTCGCCGGGCCCACCTCAGCTGCATCTCTGCCAGTTTGAGCCGCGAGGCTGCCTGCTTCCATTTCTGGTGGCGATGACGACGCTGCTGCTTCCCTCTGAGTGTTCTCCTGGGGCGGCGGCGGCTGGCCGAGCTGCAAGTCTGAGTCACCGCTGAGCCCTGCCTCCGAACAGATGGGCTGCACGCCAAGCCTGTTGAGGTCATGTGTGGCGATGTCCATTCTGCGCCACTGTCTGACCGCCACTGGGAGGTTCCTCCAGATATTTTTGGGCAGGCCACTCAGTTGCCCGTACGGCACACAGCCGTTCCTGACGTGCACCTCCTCCAGGGCGCTAGTCCAGGCGACCATTGAGGTTGGGCTGGCGAGGCTGAGCTCATGCGTCTGCAACATGAGCGCTCCAGAGTAGTAAACCAGCGGCCTCTGTGGCGTTGCAGGAAAGCATCCCATGCTCACAGGATCGACTGTGAAGGCGGCACTGCACCCGCCACACCTGAATGCTGGGGGGCTGACCTCTGTCCTGCCGCTGATCGAGACATACACAAGCCTGCTGATCGTCTCCACCTGCTCCCACACTGATCCCACCCTCCCAGCCTGACTGCATGGACTGCAAGCGGGCAGGGCTGCTCTGGCAGCTGTCAAAAACTCTGCCTGCAGCTGCTGCTTCAGTGCTGCTTGGCGTGCAGGCTGACCAGCTTGGAAACATGTGTTCCTGAATACATTGTCATCAAAGCACGCATCCCATGCTTGGTGCAGCCGTCTATTATCCTCTTGAGCTGCCTGTTTCCGCAGACGCCGGCGTGAGGGCGGAGGCTGATAATAGGCAGCAGCGGCTTCTCCATCTCCATCTGCAAAGCCATCCTGCTGTTCTTCCTGCTGAGCTGTGTTTCTTGCAGGGATCCGCCAGGATGGAAGGGCGCTGGCCGGCCTCCGGGGTCCCCTCGGTGCAGATGTTGCCACAGTGCTGCCTAGGTTCCTCCCAAATCTGCGGCCTGGCTGCAGCAGAGCAGGAGTGTCGGCTGATGGTATCACCTTGACACTGACCCTCCACCTCTTGTTCCTGACCATTCGTCCTGCATGAAGTCATCACACAACGGTTTCTGCAAGTGATCCACCAGGACATTAAAGGAATGAGAAGTACATCAGCAGCATGCCTTCTAGTACAAGTGATACAACTATCCTTACAAGCACCTGGGCTACTTGCTACTCTTTGGGGTGCACAGTCCTCTCCAGATGCTCCTCATCAGATTGGCATTCCAAGCAAAGCCAGGTCAGGGCAGACACCCACGGCTACTCACAGCAGCAGAGGGATCGTAACGCTCACCAGAACAATTGAACTTGATGTTGGTTTAGATTGTAGACGACTTCAGTGTCTGTCCGGTGCATCAGTGCTCAATTCAGGTGAACGCTCTGTGTTGCCTGCACGCATTTCATTTCAAGGAATTGGCTTGGCAGGGCATGCAGTCACTACGAAAGAAGTAGACATGCACGTCGATGGTCGTGACATTCGATTAGCTGAGTCCAAACAAGTCAAGGATGGGGATGCCAAAAAACCGGCAAAAGTGCGAACCTCACATGGCCAGCGACAGAAGACTTCAAGAATTCGTTTAAATTACTCCCATAAACATTTGCGGCCGTCCCACCCCCCTTTCAAATCCTACTTTGCAACGGTAACCTGGCAAATGGCATTGCTGTCTTCGCAGAAACGAGTAGCGCACGATCCTATAGATACAGGCTTGACCGAAATAATTAGCTTGACGGAGGTACTATGCAATGCTGAGATTGTTGTAGGTAAATCTGAAGGATGTGCAGCATTGCTTTTGTTATTGCACGCCCCGAAGGGGCGTGCTCAGAAAGAGAGCCAAATCCACTAATGTAGTGGAGTGCATGTCCACCAAAGTAGTGGATTTTGCCCGACAGAGTAGGATGCACGTGCACATGGTAATTACTTAGTAAATCGAGCCGGACTGCAATGCTCAGACTGAAGGCATTGGTTGGCTTAAAGGCCTTCGTCGCTGCCACCATGGATCCCCGTCTAAGAGATGCATACGATGTCGCGCAGCCTCTGCTGACAACCCATGACGAGGAGGCGGCGGAAGAAGGGCGATGCCCGTCATGGTGGGACGGGATGGCTTCTGAACGTACCAATACTGCAGCCCAACCGTCCGCATCAGCATTTGCCTTAGCGCAGCATAGCATACCCGCATCTCCCAGTGGCAGCGGACGACAATCGCCCCGGTCGCAGTCCAACTCTGCCACCACCAGGAAAGCTGGTGGGAAAGGAAGTACAGCTAGGGAAAGCAGAGCCAGGTCCGCAGACTTACCTGGGGAAAATTGCAGCGATATGTCCTGGATTGATTGCTCCGTCATTGCCCTCCTCCTGCCTCGGATGTCACACTTGTTGAGTGTTGCAGGCGGACCCAGTGGCTGGTTATCAACAGTCATGGCATCAAGACATCTTTCGTCTCTGACAAAAGGGGTCTCATACAGGTGTGCCGTTGCCCATATTACACAAGGTTGATGTGATATTTGTGAAGTCATCCATGCGCAGTACACTTGCAGATCGTCTGACTTTGTAGGTTGGATCGCTGGCTGGATCGAAGTCAGACAACTCTTTGTAGTGCATCAAACACTGTTGCCTCAATTGCCATGCTCCTGATGCTAAGCCACCCTGGGGACCCCGCAGAAATTTAGACTGGGAGTGCCCATCCGAGACATGAGGCTGCTGGACCCCAACCTGCTGACATCAGAGACTGGCAAGATTCTGGTGAGAGACAACGCGATCGTGTTCAGCGTGGAGCACGTGCGGCTGATCATCACGGCAGACTTTGTCATCATCCCCCAGACCGGGTTTGAGCGCTCCTCGCTGTCAATGCGATTCGCAGCCATGCTGGAAGATGCCATCATCGAAGCCTCACAGGAGAAGCAGGCATGCGCTCTGCACATCGTTCTCAGTATTGCTTGCTCTTCTGGGGGCATTGCTCACTTTTTGAGCACCATTGGGAATTATCAATTTCTCTTGATACGCATTCCCGGGCTGATGATTGGGGTCTGCTGTGTCTCAACAGGCAAAGATGTCGTATGAGGTTCCGCTGTCAGGGCGCGACAGGGAGGATGATGTGCTCTTCAAGGACTTTGATGACCACCTGTCAGATGACTCATCAGGTGTCCTAGTCCCTCAAACAGCATGCATTGTGCATTTACACAATTTGGGGAAGCAGGGAACGTCGTGTTAATGCTTCCTTCATTGACAAACATCCAGCATGCACCTACTAGTGGCATCTCCGGGCCTTGTGACGCCCAAATCTGCTCACATGTGTCGGCACATGTGCACATGCAGGCCTGCGCCATGAGGCAGCCGTGCTGCCGTTTGAGCTGCATGTGCTTGAGGTGGCCATCGGCGATGTGTGCGCGCTCTGCACCGAGCTTGTGAAGGAGCTGGAGTCCTCCTCCCACCCTGCCCTGGACGCCCTCACAAAGCATGTAAGCCTCCTCGGCTCCTGCTCCAATGCATGAGCGCAGCCTTTCAAGCCTGTGTATGGAACTCCTGCCCAGATGCATTCTATGAGCTGCAATCTTCTTGGCCACAGCCGTGTCCATCAGTAGCCAAGGTCTGATCGATGGAGGACTTAGGCAGCAAGGCGGCCACGGCAGAATGCAGACAGCTCTGGGCTATCAAGTTGTGGCCCAAAACCAGATCAAGCTGCAGTGGCAGGCCTCAAACACACCTAAAGTCTGAGAGGCACGGCGTTGTCCGCTCACCGCTCATCCAGAAAAGTGAGCTCAGGTTGCGTGCGTTCATGGCTGCAGGTGAGCACGGCCAACCTGGAGCGAGTGAGGAAGGTGAAGACGCGGCACCAGCGGCTGTACACGCGCGTGGTGACAGTGCGAGAGGAGCTGCAGCGCTTCCTGGAGGACGACGATGACATGATGAAGATGTGCCTCACGCGCAAGAAGGAGCTCGAGCGCCTTGTCTCCTCCGGCCACGGTGGGTGCCTGCGTGTCAGCTCCTGGGCCTCTGCAAGCTCGAGCAAGTTCTGCATCAGGGCAGAACAATGCACTGCCCAAAGAGGAGTATCCTCCGTCCGTAGTCCTTCCATGGTATGTGAGGGGAAGATATCGACAGATTGGCCAGCAGCGCTGCTAGATCCTGCACCCTATTTGTGATTTTATCCGATTTAGGATATGTGTGGGGAGGCCATGCATGTGCGTGTATGGCTGTTGATAATGAATTGACAGGGTGCAATTGCCTGATTTTAAGCCACGCTAATGCTCAGCCGCTGTGGCCGCAGGTGTGCCGGAGAGGCAGTCACAGCATGTGGGCAGTCTCCCGCGGCGATCCCTCAGCATCAACATCAGGGACGAGCGGCGCTACACCACGCCGCAGCCTTTCGGCGTGGGCAGCCCGCGCGCGGATGATGGGGCAGGCCACAACGAGGAGAATGACATGGAGGAGAGCATAGAGGTGGTGGAAAATCTACTGGAGTCCTACTTCATGCAGATTGACTCCTCCTACGACCGCCTGGTGTCTGTGGGTGCGGCACGCCTGCCTCGATCAAAATGTTTGAGGGTGTGATGGTTGCTTAAGGCTTAATAGTGAGGTCATAAATTTACCATTCACCGTTTTCTGCATCATTCCATATTCATGCTTCTGGTATGCTTCTGTGCATGGGCTTGGTGTGATTTGCCGTGTTGCTTGGACTGGAGCTGCTGCCCAGAAATGCTGAAGCCTTGCCAGTAGATATGCTGGGTGTTGATTAGTGCCAATTTTGGCCATTTTGTCCAAGATAGCATCCTTGTGGTGAAACCAATTTATATAAACGTGCGCAGGTGAGTTCATAAAGGATACAGAGGAGTACATCAACATAGAGCTGGACAGCAGCCGCAACCGCCTGATCAGGCTGGAGATCGTCCTCACCGCTGGAACATTCGGCGTTGCAATCTTCAGCCTGGTTGCAGGTGCGCTCCCTTCTCTATTCTTGCTTAGGTCCTGATCAGCATCCGAGGAGGTCTTTATGGGAAATAACAGTGCTGATTATGGGCTTTTTCAACACCCCCAGGGCTGCCTGAAAATTGCAGTACGGCAGGATTAAGATTAGGCGGTGTTTGCTGCAGAGTAGAAAATGTCACGCTGTTGGAGAGCTTAATTACCCCCGTCCATTCTCAATATGTGCTTTTACGATGTGGGTCGCAAAGTTTATAAGCATGCTGCTGCTGTGCTGCAGGCATCCTGGGGGAGAATTTGATCCTGCCGCCGACAATCACCAAGACAGTTTGGAACTTTGTGGAGGTCAACCTCATCACCTTCAGCTGCTGCCTGCTCTTCTTCCTCTCCATCATGGCCTACATCCGATGGCGCCGCCTCTTCTGAGCTTCTGTAGCAGCAGCCGATTGTGGGGAGCTGATTACTCCAATGAATTTGTACCTTACTAAAGCCATTGCTCATGCGCACAAGATAATTGAAGTAACCCTGGTCCATGCACCATGCAGGCATCATCTCCTTCAGTGGCATGGCATCTGGTTAGCCACAAGTGTATGATGAGATGCTGTTGCCTCCTGGTAATCTCTGGCAGAGGCAGCCTGCAGAGAGGCATTCCAGCTGGAAGATTGCCTGTGAAGACATGGGAGTGAAGTATCCTTGAATCACCTATCATCAGCACAACGTGGCACAATGTACTGTAGCAAGGGCTGGAAATCCCAGAGTCGCAAGTGCCCCCGTGCATATATTGGGCACTTGATACTACCATCACTGTACAGCAGAAGTTCTCAAGGCCTCACAATTGGCAGCATAGGATGTGCATTTAAGTGACACATGAAGATCTGGTTGAGAGGCAGGATGTTTGCCTATTGAACTTCACTCCCTCGACCTTGTAGATGACTTGTGAATGTCTACACGAGGAATTATGTTTTTTCTGAACATGTCCCTACCTCTGCTCTTGAGCGTGTCTGATATTCACAGGTTGAGTCAGACTGTGAAGAGTACATCTAGGTCTATATAGATCAATATTCTTACAACCTGGCAATGTATATTGTGGCAGAATTCCTCTCATATTTGCCAGGCATTAGAAGAGCTCAATCTCTCCAAAAAAGGAACTAAATAAAATGGCAACATGAAGTATGCTGTTTTGCCAACAAGGCGTGCCGTCCTTGCCACAGTAAGCCATGCTCCTACACAGACATGCTCATGGTTTAGTAAATAAGCGCCATGGCGGTGTTTGCAGCGTGGTTCTCTCATGTCATTATGCACTTGAGAAACGAGGATGCATGGTGTTTGCATGCTCCAATCTGACGGATGCACACTTCACTTGAGCTTCCACTAAAGCCTTCTGTATCTAGAGTTCCACAATCTGGTCCCTTCACGCAAAGGACTGTATAGAAGGCACAACCAGAGGCACTAACCTTGCTTTAGGATGTTCAGGTTGGGGCTTTGTAGACCGCTAGCAGTATCGGCCCATTGTACTCTAGTGCTACAATCCGCGTGGTGCAAGGATCAATATAGAAATGGGAGCAGCGCCCTTCTGGTGGCAGGGTACTGATTGAAGTGCACAGTATACCATCTGTGTGTTGGCCCAGCTGCCAACAAAAGATTTGCCACCTGATGCAAAGACAGGCAGGTCAGTTTTGATCACCGCAAGGGGGCAATTTTGTGGAATTCTTGAGATTCTGTGAACATGAGGCCAGCAAGGAAGTATCTGTTGCAGCTTACCACCCAGGTAAAGATAACATAGGACAAGTGGTTGTCGCAGCCAAGCAGAATCATTAGGCCTCCATATATGACAATCTCCCCCAGGTAGTGAGGGCAGGAGACAAGCTCAAAGGCACCCCCTCTGGGAATGCTGTAGTCACCCTCCTTCTTTCCGTGCCTGCTCAGCTTGCGCCTCAGCCTTGCCAAGATCCAATGGGAATGACATTGGAGCACATTTCCAGCCAGAAAGACGCCCACCCCCTGCATTAGAAATGAAAATTTCCATATAATGAGGGAATAAGGAACAGAACCTGTAGAGAAGGGCAACAGCATGAGCAGCACTGAATTGTCTCAGAGCTCCACTGTCCAACATGCGGGATCACATGCACAGACTTGGGCTCACCAGGAAAAACATCGGCCCTGCTGCATGCTGTAGGCTGGCCCATATATTTCCTCTCGCCAGCCATGGTTTGCTTAGCCCATCCCAGTTCTCTGTGGCCAGCACAGCTGCCAGCTGCTCCCATGCGCTCCCAGGCAACAGCGACAGAGGCAGCGCAATATAATAGCTGCATTCATGCACAGGTTTGTCATAGTCAACACCTTATGCAAAGCCTGCCTACTGGTTTATTTGAGACCTTCTGGCAGACACGCATAATGGCACGATATCATTTGCACTAGGCAGCAACCAGTCTGCACCTGAGACCAAAGAGGTAGGCAATGAGGTGCATGCGCGCGCCCTGCGGATAATCAAAGAGCAGCAGGGACTCCAAAAGGCGCCTGACCAAGTGCAGCTGCAGCATGCACAGGCCTACCAAGCCCAACCCCTCGCCTCGGCTAAAAGCTGATCCCCTTTGCAGGGCCAGCAGCAGTGCTAGCGTCACTGCGTTGCATGCTGCACCCACCATGTAGAAATGCGCAAACCAGCTCTGAGGCACATGCACGTCCTGTCAAGCAAGGTTGCATACGTCAGCTGCAGATCAGATCCAGTACTTATTTCGTGCATGTATTGACTTGAACAATACTTAAAACTTTATGGGTTGGGGTTGCATAGAGGTTATCACCGTCAAAGGGCCCAACTTAGCCTTGGGCTTGTCATCCCATGTCTTCCCTCTGCTAGCTGACAAGCGCACCGACGCACTGCAAAAACCGTGCAATCCCGCAATTATAGATTCTTCAGCATGTTCGACTCGATATGCCTTAGAAATCCCACTGAGCTGCTCTGCAATTGAGCTGTGACAGGCTCCAGATCGATGTTGCCAGCGAGCAACAAATATTCCCCTCACCTGAATGCCGGTGCCAAATCACCTATCAGCAAAGTGAAAAGGGCTGCACCGGTTGCAAGCACCCAGTACAATGTTAGTAAAGCAGGCGCAGAAGTAGTGATGGCGTTCGTGATTGACCACATGTCTCCACAGAAGCTAAGATAGTTCTACGCTACCTGGGTCTTTAGTCTTCTTCTTTGTCAATGCATCTTTTGACACATAAATATATAAGATACGGATTTGGAAAAAATGTTGATTTTCATCATATAATGCGACGCCTGATGGCGCCATGCTGACATCACATGGTGTTGGGCCTCCTTCAAGCCATGCCATGATGCAATTCTGCTCTTTGAAAATTTATCCATGCATTCAAGTGAGAGGAATGCAGAAGATCTGCCTCAGATATATTTTGCCCAGTTTGCAACTTGGCAGCTCTGGCTCTGCGGTTGCGCAGCAGCCGAACCCATGGGAGGCATGATGGGACAACTTGGGACAAATTGAATTCTTGACTAATGTGCGTGCGTGCTCACATGCGCATGCATGCATCACCAGCAGTAGCTCCACTGGTCTCACTACTGTAAATGTGTCGATGATTGCGTCTCAGCATTATACCAGCAGGGATCCTGCTTGATCCTTATCTCAAGTCAACAACTTGATCGACTGCCAGTGTATCGTGCATGATGGGATCTCAACTTGATGGAGCCTGGTGGGTTCTCTCCTGACAACCAAAAACCTGCCTTAGAGGATGACCACATACAGCTGGTATGTCTCAACTCAATTTTGCTGGATTGAAACGAAACCGGCGCATGACACACATCAATCCATGAGGCACCAATGCAAACAAGGTACAATTCGCCTCAAGCCAGTCCTGCACTGCGGTCTGAGCCCTTGAAGCGAAGTGCCCTGGTACCCTCTGTCTCAGCCAATGAAAAGATTCATTATTGCAGCCTAACATCATGACAAGGGAATTGGGGTTCCATGCATGCATCACCCATGTCAGGTGATTTGTTATGAAGTGCTGATCAAGGTGCCAGGCAGACCTGTCCTGCAGATCACTGTCTGTTTCAGTTGGTGCTTCCCTCAGCAATTTGCACTCAGAACAGAGGCGAAGCAACCCTGCTGCTGTTTTATGTACAGCTATCAACATCTATGCAGCATCTGCAGGTGCTGCACAGCTCAATCCAGTGACTGCAGACTCAATTCTCAGCCACATGCTGGGTGCGTTGCCCTCGGCCCCTCCGTCAAAATCCGCACCGTGAGCTTCGCTGCGGAGCAGAGCTCACTGAATACTTTGCGGGCTGGCTGTTGAACAAGCTATTTACAGCGGACGCTTTAAAATGGCTGCCATGAGCTCTCTGGTGTCATTCCGGTGCGAAGGCCCTAGAATAAAGCTCTGGCCTATCCATGGAGCTCGCTAGTCCTCGTCCACTCCTTCTGGGACAGCTTCAGGCTGTCTAGGCCACGCTCTTAAGCCGCCTGGGGAGACACCATGTCACCAGGATTGCAAATCAACAGATGGGGTGCATATCATCATATTCCGGCCTCATGTGCTGGCCCTTTAATGCTCAAAATGCTAATGTGCCTCAGACAAGTGAGATGTTGTGTGCCTTTCTGACACAGGAGCGGATCAGCCGTCCCAGGGGTCTGTTGGTACACAACAATCTGAGAATGCATGGATGCAGCATGACAACAACAATCGAGTTTCAGAGCGGGAAGCACACCTCACTGTACAGGTCCGAGGCTCAGGTCTCGCTCGGTGGCGGGGGCGTCAGGCCAGCCATGTACAGCATGGCATAGTCGGACGTGGCGGCAATCACAAAGCCGGCAAAGGCACCCCGCGAGGAGGAGAAGTAGGCCTTGGTGATGTGGAAGTGGGACAGGTTGTAGAGGCGGTCCGCTGATATGATGTCGAGCACGGTTGCAATGGCCAAGTAGCCGCACACTGCCACGCGCGCCTGCCACACACAGCACAACGCAGATGAGACTGGCTTCCCTCAGGACACAGCAAACTGCCTTATTCTTCAGCAAAGCACACTACCTGCTGCAATTGCAAAGATGAGGCTTGCTGCATCCTGACACGGCATGAACAGTCACAGCAAGATTTTCCCCCTGCTCCTCTATAAAAATGCGCGCTCAGTTATTGCAGGAATGAAAGGTCTAACAAGTTCATCAGAATTTATCACATGGACGAGAAAGCACCTGGGGGAGGACTTTGGAGAGGGTGGCGATGACTAAGAGCATGGAGACGATGAACTGGTAGAAGACAATCCACCAGTCCAGGCGGAAAACGCGGCCAGAGTTCAGGTTGGGGAAATTGCTCTTGATGGCCCAGCCGCCGCTGCCACCTGCCCGCAAGCAGATTGAAGCTTGGAGCAATGCAGCCTGAAATACGCTGCTCCTTGGGCAGTTTACCGGCAGTCAGGTGTGCACATGCAAGAGCTGTGTTTGACCAGGTCAACTGCGTGCTGACTCACCGTCAGAGATGCCGGTCTTGTTCTCATAGTGCTGCAGCGCGGACAGAGATCCTAGGGCAATGGCAAAGCCGACGAAGGACATGAAGATCCAAAAGGAGAAGATGGCGTAGTTGATGGGACCGCCCACCTGCGATGAAACGCGCCCTGCAAGGCCCAGCAGTCAGCTTTCCTTTGCTCATCTCCATGAACTGAAGATATAGGTGCAAAGATGCATGGCGCAAACATAAACATATATATTGAACGGGGCATGCAATGTTTGAGGGGATCGGAACAAGTACGGGTGGGGTCTGAACGGATCAGCCGCTCTGGGCATGGTTGAAAACCCCACCTCCTGCACGCTGCTGCTTGCCTGTTGAGGCAGCCAACGCCGTAGCAGTCATCGCCATCTTGGGATTTCACTTAGATCGGCTTATCGTTCAGGAGCGTGGATGGCTGCTGTCACTGCAACACCCGAAATCCGTCACTGGTCAGTGAAAAGGTAAGCTGCGCAAAGCGTCGATGACAAGGAATCGCACGACAAAACCTTCATTTAAAAGCTTACCATTTCGACAGTTTAACGGAAACAAGGGTTCTGATACATTACTTTCTGTCCTATTACGTGTGCCACATTGCGATCCGTGGAGGTTCGGTCGACGACACCGGAAAGGAGTAGAAAACACGTACCTGTGCCTTGGTTGTCTCCTTATAGGACAATATCGTGGTCAAGGGCTTGCAAATTGGTGACCTTGCATCAGAAAATGGAGACGATCGCACTGTGGGATTCCTTCCTTGGACGCAGAAGATACGATATCTCGGCTGCGCCTTGAATAGTGCTGTTTTTGGATGCTCACAATACAAGCCCGTGCACACCTCAATACCACGCTCTGGCACAAACAACGGTTTGATATGGTCGGAAATGCATATTCAGATAATGCATGCAGTGTCGCACGCTAGACAGGTTTCTTTAGCTAGACTTAAAGAGCCAACCACCACGATCTAAACACTTGAAAAGCGAGATAATTAGGCTTTAAAAAGTGGGTTTAATTCTGTCAATGCATAAAAACAAAAGACAGAGATTCTGAGACAGACTCGCTCGTTTTTCTTGCACAAGGTTGGGAAAAGTCCAGTGGGCAACGCAAGACGTCAGGATGACAGGTCTCCCAACTGCACTGCTAGGAGGTCCATGAAGTTACGAGAGACTAGAGATACCGACCTCATCTCCAAGACTTTAGGTAATGCAATAGCCAGCTGCTAATGGGACAAGTAACAGTGGATCTGGTTTTAATCCTAGGCGAGTGGAACAAACTTTCTGTTCATGTTGACTTCGAAGGCCAATGCGTGCATTTAGCTTTGGGTGGTGTAGAATTTCTCTGACATCGTTTTAAGCCCTAGACACTGAGAGGTGGGTTTCAGACCCCAGATGCCTTCTGTTGATCGAGGAGGACTTAGCACGTCCGCGGTGTGCAGGGAGCTGATTTGCTCAGGAAGAGATGAATGGAGTGCCGCACCCTTGCGTGTTTGAGAAGTAGACACAGCGACGCATGGGGATCGATTCTCAGCTTAGTAGCAGCCTGCCGCTGGAAGCCACGCCAAATAACAGTCTCGCCAATTTCAACAGTTTACCAGCACCGTCCGGCGCCTTGCTGAACCATTCTGGTGACTTGCCCACCTGGCTAGGCTAGCTGTGGGAATGCATGCACCCATGCAACGCTTGAACTGGCGAAGCGAGTCAGCATCGGAATTCCTCACTTGTCTTTTGCACCCAACTGAGACCTCCCCTTTCATGCTGTCTGGCTATTCTTGCATGGCCATGATAATCAGATCATTGTGTGCATGCCCTGTGTCCAGCGGCCAGCACTGGGAGCATAAGGGGGGCTGTGAGGGCGCTGTTCAGAGCACAAGCCTCTGCATCTGCCCCTTCACCGGCCGATATGGATCAGACCAATGGGGATCCCAGCGGGTCAGGCAGGACAGACAACCACTTGCGTGGTGCTTTCCAGGAGGTCCCTCTCAGCGATTCGCCACGGTGAGACTGGGAATCTGATAATGCACACAATTTTCCAATTGTCACAGCATTTGGCATGTATGCCAAGGAAATATCAATCTTCCAGTGCCTGAAGTATCTCCCTGGAATGCGCTGCTGCCAGCTAGAAATTGAGAATGTTGACGTGTGTGCAGGGCGGTATCATACACTGCGATTTCGCGCAACAGCGCACACAACATCCCCCTGCCTGTTGCAGCACCGTCGCCGAGCCGGTCCACTTCGCTGGCACGCCCTCCGCCCATCCAGCGGCCCAGAAAGCCGCCGCCTGTGCCCACTCCGCAGGTGCCTCCCTCCCACAGACATGCAGTTGTATCGGAGGCTCCATCGTGGGAGCTGCCTCATGTTCCCTGACAATGTGAGAGTCTTGACACATTTGGCCATGCGGAGATGCTGCTGCATTAGGACTCTCTCAGATTTGCTTGAGGTGGTGCATGACAGCTTTGCTCAAATCATGCTGGGCCTGCATGCTTGCACGCTTGTTGACGGGGTGCTTGTGTGATCAGGCGAGCCATGATGCTGCTGCACTGGCTGTGGATGTCAGCCTGCAAAGCGACACCTCCACATCAGATGGCATCAGCACCTTTCATGTGGGCCAGAGGAGGGAGGCGCCCCCGCCAACTCTGATGTCCCAGGTGTGCCGCATGCATGCTCCTCAAATTGCGGCCTCAGCTCACCTCTGATGGTACAATGCTGAAGCTGCCATTCCAGAAGCATTGTGGTCCAACTAGGGAGAATGGCTCAGAGTTCTGTGCTCACTCCCTGATCCTGCGCAGCATCATGTGCGAAGCAGCAGCGGCGGCAGTGCACACGAGGTGCTGCACAACGGCTTTAACCATGCGGCAGCAAGCTCTTCAGCCATGGATGCCTCCGAGAAGACAGGCCTCCTGCGCAGCCAGGTGCGCAGCTGCCGCTCACAAACGCTCTGTATGATGTTGTTCCTGAATGAAGTGACGCTGGAAACCTTGTTTATTTTGTACCTTCTGTAGGCAGCTCACAGTCCTGCATCAGATGCATGCTAGGCTGCATACTCTTTCAGCATATATCATCTACTCAAGGAATGCCAAAGTGCATGGCCCAACAAGTAATGCTCGCACAGCTTTCTGGCACATAGCACCGTCATCATCAGAATAGCAATGAGTCACAGAAGGAAGGCTAAACCTGGTAAATGCAGGAGTCTGGCGAGTCGGGACAGTTGAGCAGCGCACCGGAGGCTGCGATGGGGCCGTCTGGTAGGAGCGGCAGAGAAACAGGAGGAGCAAAGGGGTCTGACACGGTGGTGCATATTGGAGACTCAGGGCGGCGCTGCTGTGGCATGAGTGACCCACTCCTGGCCGCCACCCTCGTAGGCAAGTTGCAAGCCACTATGAAATTTTTTGATGCTTTTGTCATTTATTTCTGAGCCCCCTGGGAACAGATGCAGAGCACGTGAACGTTTAAGTGTGTAAGCTAACTGCAGCACACTCACAGAGTGCTGCTTATTATCTCAAAGTAGTTTAGTCAGTGTCCACACAGGAAGGGGTTTTGTAGTGTTGAATAAAGAAGCCACTGCAGGCAGTGAAACCCAGCGTCTTACAAGTCCAATGCTGGTGCAGGGGTTGTGGTGGGGATAGCTGGCGGGCTGCTGCTGCGGTTAGCGGAGCCGACTGCCGAGCAGATAGATCTGCTGGGCTTCGCTGGGGAGCTCATGCTGCGGCTGCTCAAGATGCTAGTGCTCCCGCTGGTGGCTGGCTCCATGGTGGCTGGTGCGCCCCATGTCTGTATATCTGTTGTAAGTCTGCCAGCTCTGCTGTCCAACACAAACTGACTTCAGCAAGTCACTCCTCATTGAATTGATGAGTACGGTGCCGGGGTGAAGTTCTCTTGAAAGATTGCAGCTTGTATAAGTGCCCGGACAACACCTATCAAGTTGGTCAGAGCCAAAGAGACACCGGGTGCCACGCAGCATAATTTAGCCTGCAGTGGGCGAACATCAGAAGTCAGTGCTGTACAATCGCTGTGCTGTCAGAGGAGCGCTGCCTCATGTCCATGTTTGCGTGCAGGCGTGTGTGCACTGAGGGGGTCCACATCGAGCATGGCCAGGGTGGCGCGATACACACTGCTCTACTACGCGGCCTCCACGGCTGTGGCAGTCGCGCTGGGCATTGTCCTTGTCAATGTTATTGATCCGGGGAGGAGCGGCTCTCTCTCCTCCGACGCAGTCACCTCCTGCAGGGGTCCTGACTTGAAGGTGCCCTGAATCCCTCATGTTCTGCTTGGTGATCAATCGTGCGGGGCATGTGGCACAATCCTCAGGACCCTTGCTGGCTCTCTTTACAAACCTTGTCCGTTAGATTGCTCAGTAAAAGCATGCTGTTTGCATGAAACAAATAGGTGATGCAATCTGCTGCACATCATTTCGCGGAATGTCTGGTATTTCAGCGCATGGCTCTTGTGAGTCCCTTGATGCAAGGAGCAAAGCTACTCAGCTGATGCTTTTATGGAGGCAAGGAAGACATGATAGTGACGGCTCTAGGGAACTGCGCAGGCGGCAGCGCAGAGCGTGGCGCCAAACGAGAGCTCACCGCTGCAGGCCTTGCTGGTGGTGGCCAGGAGCGCGGTGCCCGACAACGTGGTGGCGGCGGCTGTGAACATGAACATTCTGGGCATCATCACATTCTCGCTCTTCTTCGGCCTCTGCCTGTCCCAGCTGGGCGAGCAGGCGGATGGCCTCATCAGCCTCGTCAACGTGCGCCTATGTCAAAATTGCTCCTCTCCCAGGAACTTGCATGAATCCTGGAACGCTGAGCTGCTGACATGTGAGAAACAATTTATAAGTAGTAGCTGTCAAAATGAAGGCGAACTGAGTATCCTTTGACTCGAGGGGTTCAACGGAGGCTTTCACAACTTCATTTCTATGCTTCACGTCCTGATATGTTTGTGCCTCCCGATCAGACCAAATGCTAGACCAACAAGGCAGAAGCACTGATCTAAGATTGCATGCTTGCCATGCAGGCGTTCAATGCAGTGATCAGCCGCATGGTGAGCGCGGTGCTGTGGACGAGTCCGCTGGGGATCGCCAGCCTGATAGCGGCCGCCATCTGCCGGGCATGCTCGCTGATGGGCACGCTTGGCGCGCTGGCCGCCTGGCTGGCGACGGTGCTGTCGGGCCTCGCGCTGTTTGGAGCCCTCATCCTGCCGGGCGCGTTCTGGGCGCTCTCGCGCAAGCGACCCACCTCTGTCGTTGCCGGCTTCTCGCGCGCTCTCGTGCTTGCCTTCGGCACTTCCTCCAGCAGCGCTGCTCTTCCTGTGAGTGTTCTGGCAACTGTTGCCTGCCTCCTTTCTCCTTGCACGCACCTTGACCAGCCCACTTGTGTAATCTCGTGACAGGTTGCTCCTCCCTTCTTTTGGTCGTGTATAAACATACAAGTTTAGGGTATAGGGTATTCCCTCCCTTTTTGCAGCCGCTGCCCATTCAGCATTTGATGCGTGCTTCTGAGTACATCCAATGTTGCATGGCTGTTGTGGCCTCTTAATCATCTAGAGCAGTACACTGTCTCTTGTTGGTAAATGTCAGGGTTCACCTGAGGTGCTTGGCTGCCATGTGTATGCAGGTGGCGATGGACTGCGCAAAGGAGATGGGTTGTGAGGAGAGCATAGTTCGCTTTGTGATGCCGCTGGGCACCACGGTTAACATGAATGGCACCGCCCTCTATGAGGCAACCACTGTCATCTTCCTGGCTCAGGTGTGGCTGCCCATCTGCTTTTCTAGGCTGCTGAGGCCTGCATTGATATAACAAATGTGCAGAGATGTTCAGTGAGACATTGCTTCTCTTACACGCTCCTGGGAACTTTTCGTAAACCGGTAAACAGGTTGTGCGGCCTGAGAGAGGGTAAACACACACTGAAACTGGCCAGCTGCTAAGCCTCCAGAAAAATTTATATCCATTCATGGGTGATCTGAGACGCATTTTTCAAAATTGCACTTCTTTCCTTTGCAGGCGCATGGAGTTGCACTGGGCTTGGGTGGCACAATTGTTGTGGCAGTCACGGCTACGCTGGCTGCTATTGGGGCGGCCGCAATTCCCTCGGCGGGCCTTGTCACCATGCTGATGGTCTTGCAGGCAAGCTGTCTGCTGATTATCTGCAGTTGAATCTCTGACAAAAGCCAATTCTCGAGACACATCCTTGTTGCTGCCCGATAGGATCTCCATACAGAGCAGTGTCAGGCATGACATACATTGACAGAATTGTGTTCTTGTTGCTTTCGTTGTTGGCAGGACGCTGATTCATTGGCAGGCTAACACCTGTAAAGACATTAACTTTGGGGTGTGACCTACCTGCTTGACAGCTTCCTGCTGCTTTCCCTGCGCAGGCTGTGTCTCTGGATCGTTTTGCTGCGGATCTGGCAGTAATTCTGGCGCTCGATTGGCTGTTGGACCGGTGTCGGACTGCAGTCAATCTTCTGGGTGACGCATTTGGTGTCGTGCTGATTGACCACCTGACCAGGCATCAGAACGCCCCTGGGGATGGACACTCGCAGCCCTACTCCCAACTGGAGCTGACATAATTGGAACATTAAAGTACTAAGTTTTGCACGGTTGGGATAAAATGCGATTTTTCTATTGATGAAAGAGGTATGCAGGCATGGCTGCATACTAACAGTGGAAGACCAAACGATGTTTGTACTTTCATGAATGAGAGCCCTTTGCCAGAACTTGCTTACACAGACACTTCCAAGCTTGCCATGTCGCTCAGCTTTCACAACGTTACATTAATTTGTAAAGCAGAGGGAACCATCATGAAGTGCAGGGTCCTAATATTTTGCGCAACAACGCATTTTCCCGCATGCATCATGCATCATACTCGCACATCTCCCAATCTGAGTCAGATCAACAACCTGAAGATGCTGTGAATCATCATCACATATCAAACAAAACGCAATCGCTAAACATGTTAGTCAGAAGATCGTGGACTTTATCTCCTGTGAATCACAGTGGTTTGACAAAGAGTATCGCCCTGGCGTCATCCCTCGTCCATGGCTTGCTGCCTACCCTCCGTTTCCGCTTCTTTGCAGGCGTCATGAATGCCTTCGGCCATCCTCCTCAGCAGAGCCCTTGCACTTTCAGCGCTCTCCCTGCACCTCAGCATGCATTCTCTGAGGAAGGCAGACATTTGCATGCAAAAGGAATATCTTCAAAAAGGAGCCTGAATCCATGACTACTGTGCCATCATTCTGAACTGCTGCATAGCAGCCAGCACCATTTGTGTCCCTTTAAAAATTCGTCCAGCATGTAATTTGGAATATAAGGTGGTCCTTCAGAGATGAGAGGGACCTACCTCAACTCCCTTATGGCTTCTTTCCGGTCAGCAATCTCCACCTTCACCGTGTGCTCCAGCGTTGCTCTTGCCTGCGCAAGCAAACACACCATCTTCTGAGTCGGCAACATGCCCCAGGACATGTCTCCATTGACGTGTGGCAACTGGCGTGCAGCTACATGCTGCATTGTGCTGTGTGCTCAATCACTCGCACAGTCATCAGGGACCACCTGATATACTGCCTCATCCCCAAAAGCAAGCAGCACACCAGCTAAGTAGAAGTGATCCCATCATGAGAAGACGCAAGCATATCATATAATTTTAGGGTCTGTAGATGAGGTTCACATTGATCGCATGTGCAGAGGAAAATTTTGGTAAGCTCTCTCACAAATCATCCAGGTACTGCTGAATACCTACTTATGCCGTGAATGGTTTGCTCAGCCCCAGTGCTTGGGCCAGATTCCTTGCCTGCTCAGAGCGCAGCGCGTTGAGGATGTAGCTCATGTTCCGTGCAATGAGGCCCACGTTCTCGACTGCGCGGGCATATGCACTGGGACGCTGTACCAGGCAATCCAGCAGGTCCAGGAAAGTAAAGAGTAGTTCCTTGTTGAGCCGCCGCAGCTCCCCCTTGAAGTCTGCTGACAACAAATTGGCACAGAGTAAAGAATTGCCATGTGACAACTGAAGGGGTAACTTTGCATTGCACCGTCGCCCAAATCTCGGCTCCAAATCCCTATATAGTCCTATCCCTTTTGTGCCATGTATATTAATGAAAATAAGGTTGAGCTGAGAAAATGAGAGAGGCTTACCTAGCAATCCTTGTGCGTTGACTGTGAAAAGCTGCCGCACAGTTAAGGGAGGGATGCCATCTTCTGTCTGCAAACAGGAAACTGTCAAATATACAAGCTTCACAAAAAACACCTAGGCCAAGACATGGTCATCAGACAGCAGATGTGCATCACTGAAAACTGCACTGCATCCTCTGTCTGATCGATTCACAGTGTAGATCGTTGTATGTGCCATGGGATCACCGGCAGAACTTCACAAGCAAGACATGCGTACCGTGTAGAGCTCCCCAAAAAGCTGGTACTCCCCTTCTACAGGAGGTGGAGGTGGCGGAGGCGCGGGTACTTCGCTGCCATCAGCACTTGTTCCATACAGTTTGTAGAAGGCAGGCGGTGGTGGAAAAGCCTGGTGATAAGCACACGAGTGTCAACAATATTAGGTTGGGATGTCCTCGACACATGCACAAGTGACTAAGTGGGGCACTGACCTGCTGCAGGAGCGGCTGCGAGACCTTTTCATCCGCCTTCTCAGCCTGATCTTTGCTCATCCTAGGGGAAGTAGCTCAGGGAATAAGGAGCGATCTGCAGCTTAAGATCTGCCCATCAAAGACAATCAGTCCAGTATATCTGCCAAAAGAGTCTTGGCGGATGTTCAATCTTGGAAGCAAAATTTTCCTAATTATCAGACCTTCGCTTTTGCTTGGTTGCTGCTGCATATACCGAAATGTAACAGACACCGATGCCCATCGAAGGTGCACACAACGGCTCTGATTCTAGAATGCTTCACAGCAGCGTATGTCCCCCCCTCTACTCCTTCAAATGCCACTGATCTGATCTATTGTCGGGGACAGGAGGAGTGAGCGAAGAGGACAGCGCCCACGTCATATGATAGTCACCGGTTACTTGATCGAAGTTCAGTTCTGATTTCCTTAGCACGGAAAACAATTTCTGATGCCATAGCAGAAGGTCACTGGACAGAGAGGCGCATGAGCGCTCGTCCAAGGAGAGTGCGATCCTAAAGTGAGCTGTCATTAGTTGCGAAATTGTGCATCCTGGCTTCACATCACCTTCACAGCGTGTTCCTTGGGCTATCAAGTGATTCGGCATAAACTATGCTGTCCTAAACGTAATTTTTGACACAGTCAGCCCATGTTACGGACAGATCCATCAGCAGTAAAGCGAGGATCACGTTGACCGACTCCTTTGCAAAATCCATGGCAGGATTCTGACGCCCAACTGGCATCGAGTTGTATGGCAAAAATTATATCGTTGCCGAATGTCGCCCTTCTCGTTGCGATTTTGCAGGGTGAGGCACTGAGACACTTCTCATCTTTCTGTCTAGATGTTGCTATCGGAAGTCGCTGATCGGTTCTGAGTGGATTAAAAGGCTCATGGTAAGGACGACGATGGTCATACCTTTTGTAATGTCCATCTGTACAGGCGCAGCTTGCCACTCAGGAGTAAACCAAAATGCAGATCTTCAACGGAAGATTTACGCCGAGGCCAGAAATGCACCAGCTTGCGTGCGCCTGCTGAACGCAACGGGCGCCGTTGGATGCGCTGCAGAGCCTGTAGCTGCTCCTTTGCTACTCATGAGCAATGCCGCAGTAGAACCAGTGCCAGGTAGGAATTTGCAAGCCAGCTTGGCAGACAAGCTTTTACACCATTCAAAGTTGTGGCATCGGAACACGTGTGGACAGTGTACCTTCACCCTGGTGTTACTGTCGAATTAGTACAGGACAGCACGAAAGCAGGCATCTGATCAGGGCACAAGCCACCTTACAAGAAGGGAGGTTCTACGACTGCATGTGTACATCTCAGGAATAGAAGCCTCTTCTCATGCTGTGCAGATGCTCGCATGGTGATCCTGTCAGAGGACCAGCTGGCCTTGTTTTTGCAGCGGCTCAAATCAGATGCAGCCCTGCAGCAGCGCGTTAAGGGTGTCCTAGTTGTTCCGGGGAGCCCGACATCCCTAACGCCAGCTGACAGCTTCCCCTTGGCATCGTATGCACCGTACAGCAATCGTGGCTATGCCTGGAATCGCAATGGCACTGGTATAAGCAATCTGGACAATGGCACACTGCCCGTGTTCCTGTTGGAGGGCGATATGGCAGTACAGGGACAGCTGCGCGCGGGGGCTAATGCACTCAAGGTCTGTGCCAGATCAATCTGAGCTCGCCTTTGCAATGTTGTTTTGGGGGGAACAAGCTGGTCTGCACTGTACACAATGCAAAGAGTCTGTCCTGCAGGAAGCAGGAAGATGGTAGTGGACACCATTACAAACCTTTTTTAGGCAGCTGTTGATACAGCACCGGCTGGAAGGGGATGTTATTTGTCACAGCTCTTGTGCAGATGCAAAAGAATGATTGCCTGGTCATGTGCTGCTGCAGAACTTCAACGGGCCATTACATGAGGCGGAGCTGGACGCCACCATGTTTGCGTCAGGGAATGCCTCAGAATGCATCACACAGGGCAGCTGCCTCCCGCTGGGCGGCCACTCGGTGTGGGCAACACTGCCGCCGTTGCCTGTCACTGGCAGTGACAACAAGCCAGTTGTGCTTGTTGCTGCTGGAATGGACAGCACAGCATTCTTTCATGCCAGGGCCAAGGTGCGCAGCAGTCAGAGCCCCTGTGCCAAGCTGCAGTATAAAAGTACTGATGACTTGCATGCAATAATGAATGCTGGGATGCACTCTCTGGTGTGTTGCAACTCTGTCTAATAAATGTAAGGGGATATCTCTGATTTTGTGCAGGGAGCGGATGCTCCGCTGTCGGGCTTAATAGCTATGCTGGCGGCAGCAGAGGCGCTGGGCAACAGCAGCTATGCTGAAGTGTACCGGAAGCGCATTGTCTTTGCTGCCTTTGCTGGCGAGCCCTGGGGCTACATGGGCTCCAAGCGTTTCCTGTGGGAGCTGCACAGCCGTGAAAACTCCACCAGTGGGTTGAGCTTGGAGCAGATAGAGCAGGCACAACCTCCCGTTTCACCGATTTGATCTATTATCTTGCACAAGTATGTGTTAGCAGTTGTACGTACAGATGCACAGGTTGCACTGCACATACAAGAGGAATGAGAGCATGCCAAGCAGACAAAATGAAAATATTCCCTCTGAAGGGCAGTCTCCAATCTCCTCGATAGAAGCCACCAGAGCAGAGATATTTTGATAGATGTCTTGCGCGTGGTGTTGGTGCAGGTAGTGGAAATGGGGCAGGTAGGCAGGGCAGCAGATGCCTCTGGGCAGAGCGCATTCTATCTGCATTTCCAGCGTGAAGCAAGCTTTGGGGCAGCTGACAACCTTGTGAAGGCCTTCCTCCGAGCTGGAGATGACAATGTGCGCAAGTAACTGCTTGCTTCTGGATGCAAGCATCAAGATTTTTTTTTGGAATTCTATGGCCTGAGCCTTCTTGCGCTTGCGCCCATGATGACAGCTTGATTATCTAAGGAGATCACTCAGCTTGACTCACAGCACGGTCATCTCAGTGAGAATGCACTGTTTGTCGCTTATGGCGATTTTCTCAATTGCTGTGCAGGCTGAAGTCAGCGAGGCAAGCAGCCACAACCCGGGCTTACCGCCGTCCTCGCTCATGTCCTTCCTTCGAGTGAAGCCGGGCATTTCAGGCGTGGTGCTGGGGGATTTCAACACCCATTTCATCAACCCATTCTATCAGAGCCACCTGGATGCCAACGTCAGCATCGATGCGGTCACTTCGGCCGCTGTTGTTGCGGCGCGAGCGCTGCATGAGACGGCGTTTGGTGGCTCTGAGGTCCCATCTCTCAAGGTACACACCAGCATGCCATTGTAAATCTTCAATGCTTGTGTGGCAGTGTCCTCTGCTGATACTGATGGAACGAAGGTCCTTTTGCTTCAAGGGCCTGTAAGAAACAAGTATTCAGAGAGGCTCTGGTGCAGGTGACAAGAAGCGCCGTTCGTGCGACGGTGGCTGCCCTCATGAAGTGCCTGTTGACGGAAGAGCCTGGAATGAGGTGCCAGCTGGCAGATGCACTGATCAGCCCCATTTTCAGGGGAGAGCCTCTGCATTACATCAGCACGCTGCCCTTGTTGGGGCAAGATTCACAGGTGTGCTACTTTTAAGAGCACATGCTGGAAGATAAAGCCGCCTGCACTTTATGAAACGTGTTGCTTGCCATCAGCGCTGCTGCAACAGGAGCTTGAGACCACACCTCAAATGTCTTGTTGCAGGATCCAAGTCTTGCCCATAAGAAGGATATTGAGCGCTTTATCTGGAATTTTCTGGCGTCACGGACGGCTAGTGGGCCTGTGTCAGGCAGCGCTGGTGAGGCATGCAGCATCCCTTCTTGATGACAATGGGAATCTTGTGTGTGTTTGACAAGCCCTGCATATGTCTTCATCATGCAATTACTGGAAGTAAGCCCCATACCCGGCGGCAAAACTGTCATGGGCTGACCTGATCACAATTACTGCTGCGGACAGGCAAGCAAGGAGGGTGTGACTTTGGCTCAAGGAGGTGTGGGGAAGGGGCTTTGTGCGTGGGCTTCCGGGCGCTGATAAGTGGCAATGCTGCAAGAGGGCGCTGCTTGCGAGGCACTGCAAAATATGTACCATCGTATTCCTTACGCTTTGGATGCAAGGTAAAACATTCCCGAGTCTTGCGTCAGCTGATGGTATGCTTGTGTGCTGCTCAGGTGCAATCATGATGAAAATGCAAGCAGGCACTGAGATATCAACACACACCTTCAGCTGGTGTCAAAATGCTCACATGCATGTGTCCACTTCACGATGTGGTGTGATGCAGGAATGTCAAAGCGAAGCCCAATTCCAGTGGGAGCTGTCAAATAGCTCTTTAGACTGGGAAGCAGCATCAGCGTGGCCGCCAGATTCCATGTGGACCGAAAGCAACTGGCCTCCTGGTGGTGTTCCTTCATATCAATTTTACCAGGTGTGCACCGCGATTGTCTGCAAGATGAACAGCTAAAAACTTTCTTCAATGCTTGCTGACCTTATAAGGGGGACCGTGCACTAACAGCGGTCAGGGCTGATGAAAACATGATGTGTGTTGATGGCAGAGAGAAGCACAAGGGATGGAAAGCCGCTTGCTTACCGTTGGCGTCTTGTTGGCTCTTCTTAGTTTCACGGCAGCAATTGCAACTCGAGAGCTCTTCGATCGACATCTGAAGCAAAGATAAAAATTGCATTTCCAATCTTTAGCAGTGAATGTTGTAGTGCGGTATCTATATAGGTATATCTAGATCTGCCCTTTCATGTAGTGTTGAAGCTATGTAGCATTATCATGGTCCCATATTCCCTTGCAACGTTTGGAAAGCAGTGAAGAATGACGTTCATATGGATACTAATCACGATGACAATCCAGACAAAAAAAGGTCTCACGCTATGTTCAACCTTTTTTCAGCCACGTGACAAGATGATAGCTCACAAACCATGCATCACGTAATTGCCTTCCTAGCACATCGACTCGCCACCATTGGTGGCCAAAAGGAGGGCAGCATGACGCAATGGCAAACTATACCACGCATGAGTTGCCAATACTATATTCCTCTCCGTTCCTAAACAGCAGCCGAACTGAGATCTTGGAGGCTGAGCTCATTTGCGTTGCATCCTCACCAACCAGCTCGCCGCAGGCGAACAACTCAGCTTCTTCGCATCCAGCAAAGTATGTTGCAAGCTCCGGCACCCTTCCAACATACCCCCTGGAAAAGCAATGGCATGATATAAGATTGGATGATGTGCTTGGTTGCCACTGAAGGGAACAACATGTCTAGCTACATTGATCTTGAATTAAATTTTAGCGGATTGCTGCATACCTGATCATGACCCACTTTTAATCGACCTCCGTCAGGGTCCTGGTGTACAGTACATTCTTGCACTCTGCCAAATATGCGATGAGCTTGCCGTCTGGCTCTGCCACCACCACTGCTGCGTCTAATTTTAAGATGTCACAGCCCAATAGAGGATCCACAAAAACCTTGGTGCAAACTGTGCGCACCTGCAAGGGGCAGGTTCTAAATCAGCAGCATTTACGTTGACAGCTTGCCATATAAAGAGCTGAAACAACAGATCCAAACGTCGACTGTACTTCTCCAGATGTGAGCCTCTTGTGCAATTTGAGCCGGAGCCGCCACATTGGCACAATGCTTAGCAATTCAGCTTCTGACAGGCTTGGGTTTAAATGCTATTTCTTTTTTGTTCAGAATCATCCTGTACCCTACACCTTAATCAAGGGGCCAAGAGAAGCCACATACCGTTGCTGCGGGGTGCTCTGCCTTAGCAAGGCGCGTATACGTAAGGGCTTCTTCGGTGCCGTCTTCCACAGCTGAAGACGAGTTGTCCCTCCATGCCTCCACATTGCGAACCTAGACAAGAACAGAAAAACATGTTAATCATACGTGCGCTGTCAAATATTACTGATTCAGACACAATCCGACTTGCGCTCAGCTTTTGAAAAGCCTTGCCAATCCGAGATGTTTGCGTAAAGTTGCTTGCATGCCTTGAAAGTACCAATACCACCACAAATGCACTCACGCCCTGCACACGCTTACCAGCAATTGAACCCTAGCCAAAGTGCAACATGCATGATTATGGAAACATGCAAGATTATACCTCTTAGCCTGGTGTCAATGGGGGCAGGATCGGCATACAATGCCAAATACGTTGCATTGTCCTCCAAGTCCTCCAGAGCAATGACACATTTTGTGGTATCGGCGCCCACTTTGCGAACGCCCAGGAGTCCCAGTTTGTCTAGCAGGCTCTGCAAGAGCCCCTCAGTGAGGCGTCCAACTTTCAAAAAGCTGTCCCTTCCGTCGGATGCTCCTGGTACGAGAAAAGTGAAGTCCTGCACCACAACAATCATCTGAGACCCTCCACATCATGATACGGGGAGTGCTGATCAGCCATGAGCCATGCTGTACTGGCAGCCTGCAGGAACCTGCAGCTGCCTGAGGGAGATGCCCACATTTTGCATGAGCTGGTTGATGCTTATGCAAAATATCCAGTTGGGTACGTCGCCCGTAACAAAGCATCACCATTCCAGCTGGGTTGTCTGCAGCCAGGCTTTCCATGGCCCCCAGGTTATCCAGAGCATACCTTTACCGCCGGCGGGGATGAGCCCGGTGGCAGCACATCGTACACGGGACCTTCCACTAGGTTTGCAATTGTAATTGTGCTCATAGTGGGTTGCGATGCCGCAACTTGCAGGACACCTCCAATTGCTCCGTGTTTGTTCAACAACCGCTCGAGATCCTTTCTTGTGGACACATTCCACTGCTGTTGGGAGCCATCTAGAAGCCGCACCCGGATTCTCTTGGGTCCTGCACCCAATAGCATTTGAGTATACCAAGCTATAGCCTGCTCTTTTGTGGCAATCTCTGTAAATTACGGAAATGTAAGCCTCTGCAGACGAAGCTACTTGAGCAACTTATGAGGGTACCTCTTCCGTGAAGAGCCTTGTCATATGAACGAAACAGGTAGTCGGCAATCAGCAACAATAGTCGATGAGCATATTTATAAGTGCCAGAGTCAAGTACAGAAATAAACGAGAGTCGCTTGGATTGTTCTTGTGATGTGTACCAGTGAGCTTGGCTGCAGTGATGCGAATGGGTTGTCGAGCAGTCTTAAATATTCTGGGGCACTAAAATGACATCTTAAGCACTTTTGCCTGCCATCCTCTCTTTCTCAGTGTGCTGCTAGATGGCAACATTACAGTGACAAGTGGATAATTGTCTCTTGGAGTATTGCTTCCCAGCGCTGATCCACAGCTTCTTGCAGCTGCACACAGCTGTTCAAGACGGCAAGCTTCTACCTTCAAAGGCTTATTTCACATTGCGAGGCAAGTTTGTCACAGCACAGGCTGTGACACATCTATGAAAAGGTACAATCACCGAGGTGCCTTCATTTCCACTCAACCTTGCAATTCAAATATAGGCTGGCAGCGTTCTCTGCAAATGAACAAACGCCACAAGCACGCCTTGTCTCCGCCAGACTGAACCTTACATCCTCACTCTCCCTTTCACTCGGGTTTACACCTAGTGTTTTGGGGTTGGGGTGTCCAAAAATGGACCCCGGTGTTAAGGGTGATCTTGGGCAATTTCGATGTGCTGATCACGCCTATGAAGTCCAAACTTGAAAATTCGACCTCCTTGGCTCTCTATAACGCCTCAAACATGGTTTCAGGCTAGGGTTTGCATAGGGTTGGCTCTAGCTTTTCAAAAGGGGGGCCTATGGCATAGTGGAAAGACTTGCAATGGGACATATACATATAGGGCTTTCATTTGATGCATGTCTCACCAAAAGTTACAATGCCGTTTTGGACCTATCACACCTTGAAAAAAGTGATCATTTCCCTTCTAGTCTTGTGGAGCCCCTAGCTCCTCCAAAAGGGGGCCTATGATATAGTGCAAAGGCCTCCAATGGGACCCACTCATATGGAGCTTTCACATGATGCATGTCCCAGAAAAAGTTGCAATGCCATTTTGGAGGTAGCACACCTTTTAAGAAATCCATAAAGACCCTGGCAGCCTTCTAGAGGCTCTAGCTCCTCAAAAGGGGGGCCTATGGCATAGTGGAGGGTTTAGGGTTTAGGGTTTAGGGTTTAGGGTTCAGGGTTCAGGGTTCAGGGTTCAGGGTTCAGGGTTCAGGGTTCAGGGTTCAGGGTTTAGGGTTTAGGGTTTAGGTTTAGGGTTTAGGGTTTAGGGTTTAGGGTTTAGGGTTTAGGGTTTAGGGTTTAGGGTTAAGGGTTAAGGGTTAAGGGTTAAGGGTTTAGGGTTTAGGGTTTAGGGTTTAGGGTTTAGGGTTTAGGGTTTAGGGGTTTAGGGTTTAGGGTTTAGGTTTAGGGTTTAGGGTTTAGGGTTTAGGGTTTAGGGTTTAGGGTTTAGGGTTTAGGGTTTAGGGTTTAGGGTTTAGGGTTTAGGGTTTAGGGTTTAGGGTTTAGGGTTTAGGGTTTAGGGTTTAGGGTTTAGGGTTTAGGGTTTAGGG